AAACATTTCTTCAGAAAAAATAGGAAATACTGTGAAAAAATTACTCCCATCATTTGGGAAAAATTTGAGAAAAAAAAAATTAAATAACAGGAGAGCTAATAATTTTGACTGAAGCTGTACATGCATACACACGCACGCACGCACGCAAGCACGCACGCACACACACACACACACACACACACACACACACACACACACACACACACATTGTAGCCAAGGTCCAGTCACTAATGGCCACTGTTTCAGTGTGGAAAAACTGGAAGTAAGGGTAAATCTTATGTTTAAAATTCACAGGTCAAATGGATGTGAAGTGAAAAGCAATTATTATTTATTTATTTATTTTGTCATGGAATTTTTATTCTTGCAAATAGCATTTTACATTTTATAACGATCCACAAAGCAATCCCCAAATAAAACAATCAACATCTACAAATGAATAAATAAATAAATAAAATAAACAAAATAGTAATAAACAAAATGAAATACAAATACAGAAAAAAATTACAATAACAAACCATATACATACATACACATGTACCTTCACTCAATACACGTCTAAGGTTTTTAAGTGATTAAAGAATGCAATAAATTGTTGCCATTTTTTCAAAAAAATTTTCTCCCCTACCTCTAATATTGTATTATATTTTCTCAAGTTTTAAAAAGAAGACCAAATCTTCGAGCCATAATGAAATAGAGGGGGGTTGTGGGGAGGTCCAAGACAAAAGTATTCTGCGGCTAGCGAGAAGAGATGCAAAAGCCACAATGTCAGCGTGTCTCCGGTTTAAAGGTTGACACTGAGAGGGAACACCAAAGATCGCGATTAAATTGCAAACAGCTAACTTGACCCCCAGAACATCTGAAACAATTTTAAAGAAAGTAATCCAGTAATTTTGCAACTTGGGACAAAATACAAACATATGACTAAGGTTACAAGGTGATAGTTTACACTTATCGCACATATCAGAAACATTGGGATACATTTTATAAAGTTTGGCCTTTGAGAGATGAGCTCTGTGTATCGTTTTAAATTGTATAAAACTGAGTCTAGCGTATGAAGTGGAGGTGCGCACATTGTCCAATACTGCACTCCAGTCAACTTCAAACTCTAAGTCAAGTTCCTCTTCCCAGGCCCTGATAGCTTTAATGTTATGAGAATTATCCTTTGACAAAATAATTGCGTATATTTTAGAAATAATCCCACTGGTATGAACATTGTTTAAATGCCTTTTCCCATGGAGACTTTGTAGGCAGGGAGGGAAACTCGGAGAACAGAGAGGAAGCACAATGTCTAATCTGAAAATAACAAAATAAGTAAGAGGGGAGCAGGTTAAATAATTAATTTTTTTTATTTGCTTGTTTATTTTACAGGGACAATACACTTGACATTGTTATACAAAGATAACCGATGTTGTGTACATAGGGCATAAAGCTAATTTGCAGCCCTGGTCCCTGGTTAGGCTTTACATAAAAAAAAATAAGAATAAAATAAATAAAAAAACAGTCAAGAATAAAACACAATACAGCGATACATAATGATGATGATTCCGAAAAATTTGCAAACACATTGTTAATATAGAGATCTTCAAAGCATTTTAGACCTTTCTTTTCCCAGAAAGAAAACACAGAATCTAAGAAAGAAGGAAGAAAAAGATAATTATTATGTATAGGGGCCATAGTCGATGCAGAGATAAATTTAAAGTGACGCCTAAATTGAAAGAATATTTTAAGAGAAGCACACACTATTAGATTATCTGTATAATGCGAAGGGGACACTGGTAGAGAAGAGAATACCATAGCAGGGAGAGATGTTGAAGAACAGGACTTTGCTTCTAGGTTGCACCATGATAAAGAAGAGGCCTGTACACAAAACACCACTTTCTGAATATTTGCCACCCAATAATAATACATAAAGTTAGGCAAGGAGAGCCCTCCACTTATTCAACTTTTTTTCAACCTGCCTATATAAAAGAAGAAATTAACTGATCTATATTCTTAAAGAAAGATTTTGGGAGAAACAACGCAATAGCTTGAAAGAGGTAAAGTAATTTTGGAAGAATATTTATTTTTACAGCATTTATCCTGCCTAGTGGTGATAATGGGAAAGATGCCCATCTTGAAAAAGCTGATTTCATGTATGAAATTAAAGGTGTAAAATTTGCTGACTTTAAGGCAGAATAGGAAAGGGTAACATTAAAGAGCCCATATTATACATGAAATAGGGTCATATCTTGGTTGTAAGGGTCTCCAACAACAGTCTAATATGCATGCAAGGTCAAAAAACACTTTCATGGTCTTATAATCTACATTTATTTTTACCTAATTATCCCAGCGACTCCTGTATGAATCGTTCAGTGATTCATTTGTTCCCAAACCCCTCCTTAGCGCGAAGCTAATCTGCGCTGATTGGACCGATGACAGTCTGTCGCGATTGGTCGACTGCCTTCAGTCAGAGAGTGAAATGGCCAATAGCTAATCAGCAATTTAAAAAGTAATCACAGTTCATACACGCTAGATAGTGTAGGCGTGGATTTTAGCTGCCACACACACACAAAAACACACACACACCTCCGGACGAGAACGTTCCCGCTTCCGCCCGCACCCGCCAGGTTTTAGCCTTAGAACCCGCCCCGTATTCTGCCCGCCGCGCCCGATCCCGCTAAAGAGCGGGGGAGAACAAAACCGAAAATCCCCCAGATATACAGTCCAGACAGCCAAGCTGTCTGTATAAACACACACACAGCACCAAGCATAAAGCGCTCGCTCGCTCCCTCGCTCGCTCGCTCTCTCTCTCTCTCTCTCTCTCTCTCTCTCTCTCTCTCTCTCTCTCTCTCTCTCTCTCTCTCTCTCTCTCTCTCTCTCTCTCTCTCTCTCTCTCTCTCTCTCTCTCTCTCTCTCTCTCTCTCTCTCATACGCGCGCGTGCGCACTAACACACAAGCACCAAGCAGACACATCTTTCTCTTTCTCAGGCAGCCCGCTCCCGTCCCAAATCAAACCCGTTACCGACCGCTCCAGCGATTTATTCGGAAATTTATTCCCGCGCCGCAGAAATCTGGCGCGGGGACAGCCGCGGGTATGCAGACCTCTAACGTTACCACGGAGCTCCATAAACAAAGCAGCACGCGTCGCGTTTTTAACATGACTTTGCACGCGATAAGAGAATATAGCCAGTTAACCTGATACAGTTAACTCGGTTACAAGTAACAAATCACAACTAAATACATTTGCAAGCTAGAGTCAACGAGGCAACAACTTTAACCGCACGTACTTACACTTGAGAAATGGAAGAAACCCATCCTGATGTCCATCAGTAAGTTACTGATCCTTCCTTTAACAAACGCAGATGAAGTATTCTTTGTAGCATGTAGCTTCCAGAAGTTTCCAGTAGTTTCCAACTGCTTGGCTATAATGCTGAGGTTTCATCTTTGGGTAGAGACTCAATATAATATCCATCTGCAATGTGACTTCAATCGACCGGCATGTTTGTGTGCGTGTGTTTGTGGGTGTGTGTGTGTGTGTCTGGGTTACTGCGTCAGAGGGCGGGGCCTCAGGTTTGAAATCTCCCGGGTTTGCGCGTGCACGTGAATAACTTGGTTTCATTCGTACGTCATGGCGAAACACCTAATGAGTCGGTATCAAGGCGACTCGTTTGAAGCACTATGAATCGACTCTTTTATAGATGAATCAACCGTTTTAAACACTGTATTCTTACAGATTTAAGCCTTAGCTGGATACTTCACTTCACTTAGAACTGTGTTACACACTACATGGAGGGGAATTTTCAAAAACCCATAATATGGGCTCTTTAACACCAAGATACTTGAATTTAGTTCTCTCCAAATGTAAAGGGATGTCATTCTGTTTTAATGTTTGGCCAGATTGGTTTATGGGTAAACATTCACTCTTCTGTAAGTTCAATTTATACCCAGAAAAATTACCGAAATCATTTAATAAACAAGTTATTTGGGAAATAGATGCAATTGGATCAGTGATATAGAGTAATAAGTCATCAGCATATGAGGCTAGCTTATGTTCCATTCCTTTATGGATTATACCTTGAAATACAGGAAGTGTTCTAAACATTATTGATAGGGGTTCAATAGCTATTGCAAAAGTAAGCGAATCCATGATATTAATCCATTCCCAAAACCAAACTCTTCCAATACTCTGAAAAGGTAAACCCACTCTATCCTATCAAATGCTTTTTCGGCATCTAATGAAATAATTAACTCTGAGGAGTCGCTGCTTTGTCTTGAGTATATAATATTAAACAGAGTGCGAATATTAGAAAATGAATATCATCCCTTAATGAATCCAGTTTGTTCCTCTGAGATAATACTAGGAAGTATTGGTTCTAATCGAGAGGCCAGAATTATGGCTAAGATCTTAACATCAACATTGAGTAGGCTAATGGGTCTGTATGAATTACATAATGTTGGATCCTTCCCGTCTTTAGGCAATAGAGTTATAGATGCTTGTCTCAATGTTGGGGGCAATTTACCTAGATCTAAGGATTCCTTAAAAACAGACAGAAGCAGCGGAGCAAATTTGAAATGAAATTTCGTATAAAATTTCGATGGTAGACCATCAGGGCCAGGGGATTTCTTAGACTGCAATGAGTTAATTGATTTGGTAATCTCCTTTAATGTAATGGGCCCATCAATTTCGGACACTAAAATAGAATCAACCTTAAGGAAGTTAATGCGGCCAGGAAATTGGTTTAATTCTTCTAGATTGTTAGAAGCTTCATTTGTATACAGAAAAGAGTATTTATTCTGGTTTAATAAATAGCAAAAACTGTCATCTAATTATTCTTATATTTTAAGTTGGTCTTTAGATTAAAAATATTTTGTATTGTAAATAAGGTCTCTTTGATAAAATATCAAGTGTGACGGTAATCCAATACTCTTTATGTGTGGACTTGTAGGCTATCCAAATGGATTCCCAGAGGATGGGTCCAGGGGCCTCTTGTGTACTGAAGAAAAGACTGCAGGACCTCAGACTGAAACAGCAGCAGACTGTAGCATGCAAAAGGTATTCTGGACTCAACTCCTAGCTTGATGGAAGAAGAGGAAAGGGAAATGGAGAAAGAAATAGGCTTGGAACATGACATTAGTTTTAAGGATGAAGATGAGGATGAAAAAGACACAGCGGTGGGAACTCTAGTGACTTGACTTGGGGTTTTCAGTCAGATCGCTTTGGTTTCTGGGGCCTCATGTATCAACGCTGCGTACGCACAAAAACTTTGCGTACGCCAGGTTTCACGCTTAGAACCGCTCACGTTTGGATTTACTAGCGATAAACTGAACGTGGAAATGTGCGCAGCTCCACGCCAGCTTTATGGCTGGCGTACGCACATTTTTTGTGCGTGTCTGTTTTATTTCCATTGGCGACTCCTAGAGGCAGTTGTGTTAAATTCCTCTCTACAAAGTGTCTGAGCCTTGCAACGGCAGCTGTATGAGACGGGTTCATCTAGCAGGTATAAAAGGTTTCCATACCATACAGTTGACCAGCTAAACATTAAAGCACAATTTGCAGCGGCATGAATTGTGCCTGTTTTCCCAATGTAATCTGAGCTATCTACTGCACGCACATTGCTATAAAGACACTATCTGAAGATGAATTTGCATGCATGAATCAGAAACATTTCCATTCAATTAATGTGCAAATAAAATAAGATGCACAAACTTATTAATGATTCCTAATTGTCTTTCTCGTGATAAATAGTTGGCAAAATCTGATATGTAGCGGGGGAAAAAAGATGAAAGCGTTCATCAGACGCTGGATTCGAACCAAGTTCATGCTCGAACGTGTCAAAATATGTTGTCATGCGTCTTACGATCTGCGCCACTGAGAATGTTGAGAGTACTGCAATATTTTACACCTACAAATCACACTATTTCTTTTTTATTTCACTTTTTCAATTTCATTTGCGATGTTCAGACCCAACTGTGTTAACCGCATCAGCTAAACTCTCCCACTCTATTTTTTTCTTTTGTTGTTAATTCCGGAGAACAAACTTGCAAATAACACCGTTTTTTTCCGGTCTACCTCCGAAAGCAGCACCTCCAATTCACATTCTGTTCAAAGTTTCTCTTCTTGCTTGCTTTTGACTTTGCTTTTTCCTTGGGTTTTGCCAAAGTAGAGTCATTAGCATATTCATACGGGGGAGGAGGCAGGGAGGGGTTTTGAGCTCGTGCATGTTGCGCTCAGTTTCATGTTCATTCAGATGTTCAAAAGAATATGCGTGAGATTCGGCGTACGCAGTGTTTCATGCATCTGAATTTTTTTCTGCGTACGCACATTTACAGCTTTGTGTATACGCAATTTTTTAGTATGATTTCCACGCAAGTCTACGTACATGAGGCCCCTGGTCTTTAGAATTTTTTTTTAAATATTATTTTAAAATACATTTTAGTTTAAAATGGATTAAATTTTTTTGTAATTTTAAAGACCATTAAAGCTGAAGGCAATTATTAAATTCATTTATGTTAAAACTAGGGCTGCACAATATTGGAAAAATCAAACATTGCGATAGTTTTTCTGTGATATTTGTTGCTATATGATTATAATTATTTCACCAGATGAATTGACTAGCTCAGTTTGGAAATAGCTCATGACTTTATATAAATTGGGATGATTTTGTAGGCCAGATAATCTGCAAAAATGAAATTTAATTAATTTATTTCTATTGCTGAGTCTAACTGTATTTGAGTATAAAGTAAATAATCAATCAAAAGCAAATAAAACAGCTTGATCTTTATTGTATCAGAGTTAAATGCAAATGAATTTCTATTTGGTATAATTTCTTGTACACAAATTATTAAAATGCACTTGAAATCTTACAATCATCTGCCTTAAACAAAGCAAACAAGCACTCTTTCACTCTATTAAGGTTAAACTTTACAACCATTTAACAATATGGTTCTTGGTCAGCTATAATTCCACTCAAATTTTCTGAAGAATAAATAAACTGAAGCTAAACTTGACATTGCAGATTCTGTGACGTGACTACTGCAAATGATCACATTGTGATATCAATGCTGAAACGATATATTGTGCAGCCCTAGTTAAAACTGATTACAAAAATGCAGTGTTTTACTTTTGTAACAACATGTTGATTTACACTGCTGTATTATCAGTAACATTCGAGGTTACAGAAGTAATCCTTCGTTCCCCGAGGAGGGGAACGGAAGTGCTATACAGTGGATTTGATTTTGAAAATCCACGTATGGGAGGTTTCAGTTCAGAAGCCGCTTGTCTGAAAGAGTATTGAACGGGCCAATGAATGCAATGAATTGGCAGCGTAAGCTTGCACAGGTGTGCTTCATTGCCAATTATCCCAGCATATAAGCACACCTGGAGTGACCAAACACCATCCTTTTAAGCTGAAAAGACTTTCAAACAGCTAAGGGACAGTCATTATGGCGACGGAGTATAGCACTTCCGTTCCCCTCCTCGGGGAACGAAGGGTTACTTCTGTAACCTCAAACGTTCCCCTTCGGTTGGGGAACTTCAGTGCTATACAGTGGATTTGATTTTGAAAATCCACGTATGGGAGAGCTATGGAAAGCGCCATAATGACTGCACCTTACCAACGCCCCCGATGAGGGGATAGTCAAGTAAGCGTGACGCACCCACATCATGGGAGGTGCGGTCCTGCAATGTGTCCCTGGCCCTAATTTATCCTACTTCAACAGAAGTTTTACGGACTTAGATATATTTTGTGGGAAGTCGTGAGCATCTAGATAATTCTAGGAAAATATGACAGTACGTTGAGAAGTGTGCAATCCCAATAGGGAGGACGCTGCGGAGGCCATCCGCTACCCAAGGGGGGGATAGATGGCAGAATTTACAAATGGACTAGCCCTAAAAAGGGGGAGTACGCATAGAAAAAAAAAAAAGTGGTTAGCGAAGAGGGAAGACACGGGTCCACCCAGGGGGGGGGACTTAACCGTGGCGGAATAGGCATATGGGATCGCCTAGTGGGGATCACGCATAGCAGGCACCTATACCCAAAACGCGGGCTGACCAGCGGGCAGACCTACAACGTAGTCGGCCAGCAGGTGACTCCTCCGCTGAGTCAGTGCTGGGGACCACGGAGGAATCTGCAGGGCTCAACTGACAGGGACTTTACTGACAGATAAAAAGGCGCACATACCTCCGTGTTAGGGAGAATGGCGCAGCAAGCGTGTTTCAACACCCTACTGAGTTGTTTCCTCAATCACCAAAGGGTTACCTAATACCCTTGAGGAAACCGGCTCCACTTGCAGAATGTTAAACCTTGCAAATGTGTTGGGTGTCGCCCAGCCCGCAGCTCTACAGATGTCTGTTAGAGAGGCGCAGCTCACCTAGGCTCTGATAAGCGAGAGAATGGCATCCACAATCCAGTGGGAAACTTAATTTCGATACGGCACTTCCCTGCTGCCGACCGCTATAACAGAGCTACTCAGATGATCTAAACTCTGAGTGCGGTCCGGATAATACGCAAGACGCGAACTGGACAATAAAGAAAGGGCTGGGTCTGCCTCTCTTCGGAGAGGCGCGCTGCCATGGTGACCGAGTCCAGCTCCATCCCGAGAGAAGAGATCCTCTGCACGGGGGCGAGTTTGCTCTTTTCTCGGTTGACCTGAAACCCCAACAGGTGGAAGTGCCGTAGCACTTTGTCTCTGTGCATAATCAATTGCTCCGAGAGTGGGCAAAAATCAGCCAGTCATCAAGAAAATTGTGTATGCAGATTCCCATGAGCCGAAGGGGTGCTAAGGCACCCTCCGCGGGGTGTCTAACGGTGGCAAGGAAGAGTGGAGACATGGAAATACGCGTCCATCAGGTCTAATGCTGCAGACCAACCCAGAGGACGAACGCACTGGAGGATGCGCTTCTGCGTGAGCATTCTGAACGGCAGCTTGTGCAGACAGCGGTTCAAAACGCGTAGATCAAGAATTGGCTGTGACCCACCGCTCTTTTGGGCACGATGAAGTGTGGGTTTTTAAAACCCGCTCTCCATCTCGGCTGGAGGGAGCGGCTTGATTGCATCCTTCGCTAGGAGGACAGCAATCTCCTCTCGCAAGACAGGGGCAGACAGGGGGCTGATCCTGGTAAATACACACCCGTGACTTGGGGGGCCGTTTCGCGAACTGAATCGCATAGCCGAGTCTGATTGTGCGTATGAGCCACCGCGAAGAGCTGGCCCGCGCTAACCAGGCAGGCAGAGCTCTTACTAATGGACTCATCGCTACAATCGCTGACGTACCAGCAGTGGGGCAGCGCAGAGTGGGTATGCTGATCCGGGAAGCGCGCGGGTCCCACGGAAGAGCTGGAGGTGAGAGATTTGCTCTCACTCCGCAACCGAGCTCCAAAGGAAAGGCTCGAGGGGTGGGAGAAAGGAGACCGTCCTCCCAGTGCTCGTGAGCCACTGGAGAAACGCACCGAATCTGCAAGCTAGAAAGCATAGCGTCCCAGACTGGCAGATTTTGGGCTGTCACATCTGGGGAAGTGGAAAAGTGCTCTTTCATGATGTTTTCATGGCAGTAAAAAGTGCCGTTGGAAATGGGGCTCCGCCCTCCAGCAGGGAAAGAGCAAGTTCCCTATTCTCCAAATGGTCTGTCCCAAGGACGCTTTGCGGTCCATTGCCGGACTTAGTGGCGTTCTGGGAAGGGGGGGCTGCCTGCCTCCGTGGTGCTCGACGCGCTCGCTTCGCCCGAGGCGTTTGCGGGGGCGGTGCTGCTCTTGTAGGCGGGTGCCTTCGGCGAGGAGCAGGTATGGATGGCACGGCGGGCAGAGTGGGCTTACGGACCCATCATCACCCATCAGACTTCTCTCTCACCGCCTCGAATTCCTGGGTGAATTCACCGACGGTGTCGCCAAACAGGCCAGCCTGGGATATGGGCGAGTCAAGAAAGCGAACTTTGTCAACATCGCGCATATCTGCCAGGTTTAGCCAGAGGTGGCGTTCCTGGACCACAAGTGTGGACATCGTCTTCCCCAGTGCGCACGCGGCGGACTTAGTAGTCCGGAGAGCAAAGTCGGTCGCG